TCTTCTCTCTCTCTCTTTCGAAAATACAAAATAATCAAGTAACAGAATAATTGTCCATCCCACAAAATGTTTAATATTTCAAAAAACTACTAAACTGAATTTCTTTTTTCCCGGTTTTCAGATAAGACGTTTAGCCATCTTGACACCATTTGATCATAAGAATCACGAAGAAACGCTTTAAGTTATTCAGCTAGAAAGAGAACAGGTTAAAATCGTTTTGTGTCAGCCTCACTATGTCTTCCCAAGTGAGCAATGGTGAGAGAAAAAAGATCATTCAGGCCTTCAGTAATGGTACCGATATTGATACTTTAGCTTCCATCTTCAAATCCATTCAAGAACTATCATGAGAACATTGAATACGTTTAACAAAAAGGGAAAAGTAGAGAGGCACACTGGATAGGGGCGTCAAAGCAGCAAGAGGTATCATCATTTTAAGTTAGATCTAAAGATATCAATTAGAAAAGATCCAACTCAACCCACTAGGCGTTTGGCACGTGAGAGAGGAGTTTCACCTATGACAGTCCAAAGAGCAGAGAAAAAAAATAGACTTGAAAATGAAATCGTACGTGAAACGGGTGAGGCACCTTGTTACTCCAGGACAGAAAGTTACTGAGGGCGATCATCTTGAATAAGCTGGAAAATGATCGTGCAATATATATATATATATATATATACAGTCATCCACAGACAGGCTGATTCGCTGTATTACAGTGTGGCTAGACGCCAGGTTGCCTTTAGCTAGGATCGAAACCTGACTGAATTGGAGTTAGTCGGGGATTCTAACACTAAGCTATTGGCGCACGGCAGTAACGAACGTGAATTTAATCGTATTTATTTTTAGATGAACACACAGTGACTGAGAGAACTCGATTCGATTTACCGAAGAGTCTTGCATTATTAACTGTAATAGTCACTGTTTACAAACTTCCTCCCCAGAGAGCTCAACCGAAATAAATATATATACACATATTTATTTATTTATTTCAATAATATTAACTTTGAACATGGACATAATATCTTGATCGTGTTTTGAAAAATGAAATCATTTTATAAAACATACATACAACAAACTATCTCTTATATAACAGTTAAAATATAATCCTTGAAAATGGCTAAATGTATAGCCGAAAGCTCTCGGATAAAAAGAGCATTCGGAAAGTTTTTAAATAATTTATCATCTGAAAAGAAAAAGAAATATTATATCACATGAGAAATTGTATAAAAAAATTAAATCAAAAGTACCTTTTCTGTCGTATTTAATGAATGTGCATATATATATATATATATATATATATATATATATATATATATATATATATATATATATATATATATATCTGTGTTTGTGTGTTTATGTGTATACGTGTGTGTATGTATGTGTTTGTAATTTATACATATACATGTTTCATTAAAGACGACTGACAAGGTGCTTTATTCAGTTTTTTTTGTATTTTCTTCTATGGACATAAAGTGTGTAAATTTTGTCCAAACGTTCTGTGCTTATTGGAGCGGTTTGAGCCATTATCAAGGGAGATTTTTATTGTTTTAATTTTTAACTGAATGTATGGAGTGTTTATGTATGTGTCTAGTGCAGTGGTTTTCAACCTTTTTGCTGGGGCGGAACCACAAGGAAACATCCCAGTGGCTCGAGGAACCCCTGCAATTAATTAATTGTCTTATGCAAAAAAAAAACCCAAAAAGTTTCAATTATTAAAATAAAATAAAAATACTCAATATTTTTACCAAGGTTTTAAAAAAATAATATTTTCAAAAATAATTTCATCCATTTGTTAATAAGTCCTAAAAGTTTCATTAAAATCCGACAATTATTTGATTTTTGCGAGAATTTTCAAATCAATGTGTTTGTCACCGAAAAAAAGTCGGTGATATAATTTCTACGTTTTCCATTGTAAAACAGTCGTAACATTTGTTTAACCGCTAAACTCAAATCAAAACAAAATTTTCTGACGAAATTTCGAAAATGTTCGAAGGGATTAAAAAATTTTAAAAAATAATTTAAAATTACTTTGATCTTTCCTCTTAAAAAAAAATGTAAACATTTTGATGGAAAAAGTTTGTTTTATTAAGTTTGGGACCTTTTTTATTCATACTCTGCTGTTTTCTTATTGATTTAGTGGAGGTACTTAAACACACATATCTGCACAGGAGAATCAAAATTTACTGTCAATCATAGTACTTGTCTAACTTTATGCGGAACACCTGGATTTTACTGGCGGAACGCTAGGGTTCCGCGGAATCCTGGTTGAAAACCACTGGTCTACAGTTATAGGAATTTTTTATTTTCCAAACATGTTCAACACATTGTGGCCGTGTTCATAGTTGATGCTATTGAGTGTTGGGTCTTTCTTTTCATTATTAGTGCTTCCATTAATTTTATTTTTTTATTATTTTTTTTTTTTTTTAATGAGGCTATTATACAATTTTCCGACCGTATTTTTCTCGGTGAATAGAGTTGTGATTAATTTATATCATGTCTGGGAAACCTTTTTCGAATTTTCGAACAGTGGACCGCATGAGGTAAAGTATATCGTAAGGCTGGTCTCACTACGCAACCATTTTTCCAACAAATGCTTCTACCTTAGCAATGGGGAAAAACCTGAATTTTTTTTTTCTTTTGAGAAAAATTCCTTGCATAATTAAAAAAAAATTGAAGCCTTTTATAATATTTATTATCACTGATGACAGCGTGATTAACAGACGTTACTGGATATGATTTTTTTTTTAATTCTTTTATTTGAGTAGACAAAAATACTTGTAAAAGAAGAATAATTATCACTGACATTTCCTATTTCTGAAGCAAAAGATGTTTACATGTATGATCTTCCTTAATAAAAATCACCAATGGTTTAAAAGGCTGACTATGTTACCTTGAATGAAATGTTACAAAATTCAAGAAACATTGTACTTAATCATTGATTATGTATTTGGCTATGCACAAGATAGTGTGTGAATGAACAAGTGAGAATGAAAAAAAAGCAAACATTTTAATAAATGTTATTTTCATCATGAAATTAGGCAGGTCATTCAGAAAGCCTGTTGAGCTACATGCTGGACGCAGTTTGTTCATGACATTTGGTTACTTCTAAAATTGAAAATGCCCAAAAGGACAAAGATTAGCTCTTCCCTGACATCCAGCAAGACAAGACAACATCACTAAAAGTTATTCTACAAAATGAATTCTCTTTTCTATTCTCTCTCTTTTCCTCTCTCTCTTTTCCTCATTTCTCTCTCTCTTTTTTCCTCATTTCTATTCTCTCTTTTTCCTCATTTCTTTTCCTCTTTCTCTCTCTTCCACATTTCTATTTCTCTCTTTCTTCCTCATTTCTATTCTCTCTCTTTTCCTCATTTCTAGTCTCTCTCTTTTCCTCATTTCTGGTCTCTCTCTTTTCCTCATTTCTAGTCTCTCTCTTTTCCTCATTTCTGGTCTCTCTCTTTTCCTCTTTTCTATTCTCTCTCTTTCCTCATTTCTATTCTCTCTCTTTTCCTCATTTCTAGTCTCTCTCTTTTCCTCATTTCTGGTCTCTCTCTTTTCCTCATTTCTAGTCTCTCTCCTCATTTCTGGTCTCTCTCTTTTCTTCTCTTCTCTCTCTTTTCCTCTTTTCCTATTCTCTCTCTTTTCCTCATTTCTAGTCTCTCTCTTTTCCTCATTTCCTCTCTCTTTTCCTCATTTCTCTCTCTTTTCCTCATTTCTAGTCTCTCTCTTTTCCTCATTTCTGGTCTCTCTCTTTTCCTCATTTCTAGTCTCTCTCTTTTCATTTCTCATTTTTCTATTCTCTTTCTCATTTCTGGTCTCTCTTTTCCTCATTTCTAGGTCTCTCTTTCTATTTCTTTTCCTCTTTTCTATTCTCTCTCTTTTCCTCTTTTCTATTCTCTCTCTTTTCTCTATTTCTATTCTCTCTCTTTTCCTCATTTCTAGTCTCTCTCTTTTCCTCATTTCTGGTCTCTCTCTTTTATTCTCTCTTTTCCTCTTTCTCTCTCTTTCCTCATTTCTAGTCTCTCTCTTTTCCTCATTTCTATTCTCTCTCTTTCCTCATTTCTATTCTCTCTTTTCCTCATTTCTCTCTCTTTTTCCTCTTTCTTCTCTTTTTTCTCTTTTTTTCTCTCTTTTCTTCTATTTCTCTCTTTTTCCTCATTTCTAGTTTCTCTCTCTTTCCTCTTTTCCTCTTTCTATTCTCTCTCATTTCCTCATTTCTGGTCTCTCTCTTTTTACCTCTTTTCTATTCTTTCTCTCTTCCTCATTTCTGGTTTCTCTCTTCCTCTCTTTCTGGTTCTCTTCTTTTCTCATCCTTTTTCTATTCTCCCTCTCTTCCTCTTTTCTATTTTCTCTCTCTTCCTCTTTTGTATTTCCATCTCTTCTTTTTTCTATTCTCTCCCCCTCTTTTGTTTTTCTGTTTCTTTTCCTTTGCCTTTCCTTTTCATTTTTTCTTTCTAAAAGTATTTATGCAAATTTTCAAAGAAAAAAAGCTGCTGTCTGTGTTGCATTAAGAAAATCTTCATTAAATGTAAAATGGCTTGACCTCTTGAACTTTGACACCTGATCATTTACTGATTCCCTCCCCCTTTCACATTCTGAATAGATTTCCCTAATCAGATGGAGAGAGCAACAAATGTCCAGTACAAAGTTGCTTCTGGATAATACATTAAGAGTTAACAAGTTCCTGACCATCTTATTCACTAAACCAGGCAACCTTTTTTCAAACAGTAGGTTGCAGAGGCACAGTTCCTCATAAGGTGGGCTACACTACTAAAAGAATTAAAGTATGTTTTTAATTAAATATACCGGAACCATTTCCCTCACAAAAGTATCTGCCTTAAAAATGAAGAAAGTTTTTTTTTTCCTTTGGAGAAAAATTCCTGCATAATTAAAAAAAATTGAAGCCTTTTATAATATTTATTATCACTGATGACAGCGTGATTAACAGACATTATTGGATGTGATTTGTTTCTAATTCTTTCATTTGAGTAGACAAAAATACTTGTAAAAGAAGAATAATTATCATTGACGTTTCCTATTTCTGTAGCAAAAGATGTTTACATATATGATCTTCCTTAGTGAAAATCGCCAATGGTTTAGAATGCTAACAACGTCCCCTTCAACGAAAAATTGTAAAATGCAAAAAACATTGTACTTAATCATTGTTTGTGCTGACCGTGTTTGTAAAAATAACAAAAAACATTCTCATCACTATAGACACATATATATAAAAATCTACATATTTAGTTTTAAAATGCTCCTTGATAATGGATAATAGAATAGCCGAAAGCGTTCGGATATGTCGAACATATGGACGGTGTTCAGAAAAGAAAATACTCGTACGAAAAAAAAAAAAAATGGAATAAAAAGCTTAATTGCAGTACCTTTCCCGTCGTCTTTAATGAAACTTGGATAAATACATATTATATATATATATATATATATATATATATATATATATATATATATTTAAAATTTTTTTTTTTTGTAGGTACAAAATTTAATGATCGAAATAAAAGTATAAAATTTAATATTACAAGACATATTAAAACAATATTAAATAATAAAAAAACAAAACAAAAAGAACTCAACAACAAAGGGGGAAGCAATCGGTTTCTCCTCGCTCGTCAGGCTTCCAGGAGATTCAAAATTAAAACAGAGAAATGTACAATAAGAATAGGTGGAAAAAAATTACACATATATATATATATGTTCGTATATATGCAAGAAGGAACTAGAGGCAGATGACAGCGAGTTGTAAACACTCACGTTGTTTGCACAAAAAACTTGGGACCCGGATATATATATATATATATATATATATATATATATATATATATATATATATATATATATTAAATAAAACAAACCACTTTAAGGATCCATGTAATAAATTATTTCACCCAGCCCTTTTAAAAGAACTGCCGATCATCAGACTTTACTCCCAAACCTTTGCAAGTAAAGTCTGATGATCCGCATCCTTTTAAAGGGCTGTGTTGAAATAATTTATTACATGGGACCTTAAAGTGGTCTGTTTTTATTTAAATTATTTGTTGTTAGTTACATAGAGCTCTCTGGATTATATCCTCCTTAGGTTTACCCATACGGATTACCTAGTTTTTCATAAATATATATATATATATATATATATATATATATATATATATATATATATATATATATATATATATATATAAGTAACATAAAGTCAACACTTAGAGTCGACAGTCTGTTTCATGCTAGATGCAATCGTCAGGCCACGAGTGCTGTTATTTTCTCGGCTATTTATATATATATATATATATATATATATATATATATATATATATATATATATATATATATATATATATATTAATGGTGCATTGATTGTGGGTAGACTATTTTGGCAGTTATTTTACCGAAAGTCGATTATTTGTTTATTTATCTATTTGGGTTAAATTATTTTACTTGTTTTTTTTTTATTTTTTTTTCTTATCTTATTTATTTATTTGTTTATTTTTTATTTTTATTTTAATCGGTGTTTTTATTAACTATATTATCTATATATAAATATCCGAGAAAAATAACAGCACTCGTGGCCTGACGATTGCATCTAGCATGAAACAGACTGTCGCCTCTAAGTGTTGACTTCTATGTTCACTTTTATATATACACACGCTCTATCACTGATATTGAGCACTTTATCCCATAAATATAGCACATCTTAAGAATATATTTCTTCATATATATATATATATATATATATATGTGTGTGTGTGTGTGTGTGTGTGTGTGTTTTGTAGGCGAGCTATTTGTTAATAAAAATTGCTGTTTTGTTTCCTTTTTTTAATAAAAATATTTTATTTTCAGGTTATAAAAATGCATGTCGATAATCATACGCTATGGAATAATCATTTGAAAATGTTATTGTTGAATTGTTATGTTTCTTGTTTTTCATAACAAATACTGTTTAAAAACGCCTGATAATTATTCACCAACCCAATAATAATTCAACAAAAATCTTTATTAGGTTAATGTATGTGGGATAGCATTTTTTAAGCATAATTTTTCATTAAGAAAGACTATAAAAAAAAAAAAACAAATCCTAATTTTTGAACGTTTTTCTTTGGCGGCAATGGAGAGATTATTTAATCGGCAGGTATGGGAACGGAAGGGAAACGAGATAAAAAGAAAAGAAAAAAGAAAAGAAAAGAAAGAGGAAAACGAAATAAAGAAAGAGGAAAAAGAAAAGAAAAGAAGGAAGAAAACAAAAATTAAAGAAAGGGGAAAAAAGGAAGAAAAGAAAAGAAAGAGGAAAACAAAATGAAGAGAGGGAAAAGGAAAAAGAACAAAAAGATGAAAAACAAAAGAAAGAAGAAAATGAAGAAAAGATAGAAAAGAGCAAAAAGAAAAGAAAAGAAAAGAAAAGAAAAGAGGAAAATGAAAAGAAATGAAAAGAAAGAAAGAAAGAAAGAAAGAAAGAAAGAGGAAAAAGAAATTAGAAAGAAAAGATAGAGGTAAACGTCAAGAAAGAAAAAACGAAAAGAAAGAGGAAAACGAAAAGTAAAGAAAGGAATGAAGAAAAAGAGAAGAAAAGAAAGAGGAAGACGAAAAAGAAAGAGGAAAAGGAAAAGAAAAGAAAAAGGAAAGAAATAATAAGAAAAGAAAGAGGAAAACAAAAAGAAAATAAAAGAAAGAGGAAAATGAATAAAACTGAAAGAAAGGAAAGGCAAGAAAACGAAAAGAAATGAAAAAAGAAAGAAAACGAAAAAGAAAAACAAAAGAAAAAAAAGAGAAAAAAAAAAAAGAAAAAAAAAAAAGAAAAAGGAAAAGGAAAAGCAAAAAAAGGAAAGAAAAGAAAGAGAAAAACAAAAAGAAAAGAAAGGGAAAAAAGAAAAGAAAAGAAAAGAAAAAGGAAAAGGAAATGAAAAGAAAAGGAAAAGCAAAAAAAGGAAAGAAAAGAAAGAGAAAAACAAAAAGAAAAGAAAGGGAAAAAAGAAAAGAAAAGAAAAGAAAAAGGAAATGAAAAGAAAAGGAAAAGCAAAAAAAGGAAAGAAAACAAAAAGAAAAGAAAAAAAAGAAAAGAAAAAAAGGGAAAAAAAAAAAAAGAAAAGAAAAGAAAAAGGAAAAAAAGAAAAAAAAAAAAAAGGAAAAAAAAAAAAAAGAAAAAAAAAAAAAGAAATGAAAAAAAAACAAAAAAGAAAAGAAAGAGAAAAACAAAAAGAAAAGAAAAAAGAAAAGAAAAGAAAAAGGAAAAGGAAATGAAAAGAAAAGGAAAAGCAAAAAAAGGAAAGAAAAGAAAGAGAAAAACAAAAAGAAAAGAAAGTGGAAAACAAAAAGAAAAGAAAGAAGAAAACGAAAAGAAAAAGAAAAATGGAAGTGGAAAGTAGACAATAGAAGGATAGATATTGGCTCGGTATGAGAAATAAGGGAGCCGAATTCGAATTCCAGTCAGGTTAGTTATATCCACTTATGTGCAAATACTCTTAGCAAAGTTATGAGTTTCTATTCTCCCTTGGTTATGGGTTAAATAGTAGACATTGCTTCTGGAAAGGTCATTGTTATTCTCAAATAACACAACTCTCGTAAATACAATTATTCCCGCAATCTACAATATGTTTTGGCTTTATATAACGCTCGAAGTTTGATAAGCTGTAACCCCCCCCCCTCAAAAAAAAAATTCAATCAATTAGAAAATAAGGAAATAAAGGAAAGAAAGAAAACAGAACAGGAAGTGATAGCGTGATGAAGAAAGAAAAATTAAGTTATAAGAAAGAAAAAGAAAATGGGACAAGAAAAGAAGAAAAAAAACAAGGAAAACACTAGAAATTGATAGTATGAAGTAGGAAAAGAAAGAAGGAAAAATGAAGGGACGAAAGTGAAAGGTTAAACCATGGATATTAAAAAAAAAAAGAGAGAAGAAAGAAAGGAAGAATGTAGAACATAGAAAAGAAGAAAAAAAAGAGGAGAATAAAAAGAGCAAAGCAAAAACTGAGAGGAGAAAAAAATGAAGTTAGGAGGGGGAAAAAAGGAAAAAAAATGAAACAAAGAAAACAACAGAAAGTGATAGAATGAAGAAAAGAAAAGAAAATTGTAAGAAAAAAGTTCATAAAGAAAGTAAGAAAGAAAGAAAGAAAGAAGAGAAATGAAAGAAAGAAAGCAAGAAATGTAAAAAATTAAAATCACAAGAAAACAACAGAGAAAGACTAAAACGAATGAAGAAGAAAGAAAACGAAACAAGAGAAAAAGGAAGAAAAAGATATATCGAAAAAAAAGAAAGAAAACGGAGAAATGAAAAGAAAGACAGAAAGAAAGAAAGCAAAGGTAAAAAAAATTAAAATCACAAGAAAACAACAGAAAAAGACTAAAACGAATGAAGAAAGAAAATGAAGCGAGAGAAAAAAAGAGCAAAAAGAGACATCAAAAGAAAGAAAAAAAAGAGAAATTAAAGGAAAGAAAAATAGAAATGGAAAGAAAGAAAGAAAGAAAGAAAGAAAATGAAAAGAAAAAAAGACAATAAAAAAGAGAAGAGGACGCAAAAGAGAATAATTTAGAGAGGTACAGAAGAGGAGAAAGAGGTAAATTAACATAATAAAAGAAGAAATTTGAGAAGTAGAAGGAGGAGGAGGAGGAGAAGACGAAGAAGAAGTAGAAGAAGTAAAAGAAGAAAAAGAAGAAGAAGAAAAAGGTAAGAATTGGCTAAAAGAAGAAATATATAAAGGTAAATAATAACAAAGAAAAAGTAGAATTAACGTAGTAGTAGTAGTATCAGTAGTAGAAGTAGTAGAAAAGAAAAGATGAACAAAAAAAGAAAAAAAAAAGAATTAAAAGAGAAAAGAAAAGAAAGAAAATATCTGACGTTGTAATTTACAAAAATTCTCGCAAACGAAAAACTCTATTTCACCTGCCTCTTTTTACATATTTTTTTTTAAAACTATCTCTCATCTTTTATGTCCAAATTTCCATTTATGCTTGAAACCAAGATATTAATGTCTTCTCATGCCGTTTCTGGTTCCTGAGAGTCTGGGAGAAGTGGAAAAGAGAACAGGAAATCCTTGCTTTCGGCTAAATTCTGTAATTTGTATTTTTTTATTTTTAAGCAAAACAAATTCTTTCTTGCTTTGTTGGTGCTTACTCTAACAGTTCTCGTTTGAAAGATGCAAAGTCCTGGTCCTTCCATAGGACAGGCACAGAAAAAAAATCCGACAAAACTGAAAAATGTTTATCATATTGAAACACAGAGAGAGAGAGAGAGCGGGGAAGTGAGTGAGAGAGAGAGGGAGGGGGAGATCAGAGAGAGAAAGAGAAATAAAGAGTGGGGGGTATTTTTCTTTTTTATGGAAGTCTAAAATGGATTAGAGACTTATACGAAGCTGGATCATAAGTTCATAGACTCACAAATTAGTTGGATATTGATCTGAAATTTTCTCTGTATAATGTTCTTATCTATGCGATTAATACTCACTACAGAATAGGTGCATTGAATAGGAATGAGATTATGTTAAAAAAACATATTTGTTGCTCAAAATGCGTACCATTAGATCAGGAATCTCAGTCAGTTATGTGCCATGCGTGATACACGCTGAGGCAATCATGTATCTTTCCATACATAACTGACGAGACAGATTTTTTCCCGCAGTAGGTTGCCATTTTTTCTGCGTAGACCAGTTACCAATCAAGGCTATAGAACCCAGTCTGTCCTACTATTTACCCATAGCTGGAAGAGGGGAGAAGAAGAGGATTCATACCTTTCCCAAGGGTGAGTCAGTTATGTGCCATAAGTGATACACGCTTAGGCGATCATGTAGCTTTCGATACATGACTGGCGAGATTTTTTTCCCGCAATAGGTGGCCATTTTTTTCTACGGTAGACCAGTTGCCAATCAAGGCTGTAGAACCTAGTCTGTCCTGCTATTTACGAGAAGAAGAGGGTTCATACCTTTCCCTGCTAAAATAAACAGAAATGAATTTCGATTACAGATGTATTCGCTTCGATATTCTTCCATTTTTTCAATCGAGAGTAGAAAAAAACGGTGAAAATAATAATACATGAGTTTTCTTTTTTGTTTCAATAGATTTAATAGTAGAGCACTCAAAAACGGGTGCTGTCGGAAGGTCGGAATCCCCGGGATACCTTTTGTTTTCAATAACATGGCCTACAAATATTTTAAATGAGCTCACTTACAGTTTTATTCAGACTGAGTCCAAAAAATTTCAAATCCAATCGTTTTTTACGGGTTTTTCCGCATTTTACTGTAGAGTATTACAGTATTAAAAAAAAATGTGTATTTATAGCCAAAATTCCAATGAAGTTCTTTTTTTCATACCCGGTCTATTAACCCATAGCTCGTAGGGGAGAAGAAGAGGATTCATACAATTCCAAAGGGTATTAGCACGTAAGTGAATGTAATGGATTCGACTGGAATTCGAACCCGTCTCTGCCGCTATCCATTACCCCACCATGCCCCCTCATCTTTTAGGATTCAGTCAGTTATGTGCTACACGCTTAGGCGATCATGTATCTTTTGATACATGACTGACGAGACAGATTTTCTTCTCGCAGTCGGTTGCCATTTCTTTCTGAGGCAGACCAGTTGCCATCCAAGGCTATGAAACCCGGTCTGCCCTATCATTTATCTATAGCTTGGTGGGTGGAGAAGAGGATTCATACATTTCTTAAGGGTATTAGCACGTAAGTGAATGTAATGGATTCAACTGGAATTCGAACTCGGCTCTCCGATTCCTCAGTCCAAGCCACTATCCATTACTTCAGGAATCTACACAAATAAATAAATAACAACAAAAAAGTACAAATAACTTGGACATTCCTAACAGAAACAATAAAAAAAATGGGAAGCACATTTAACTGGAAACAAAATAATGGCATAATCAGAATGTTGACTTTCCACGCTACAAAAGCAAGGACACATGGCCCAGTGGATAAAGGTTAGATCCAGTGTCTAGACCCAAAGAGTTGTGAGTTCAATACCAAGCTACAGCAGTGGTGAACCAAAACTGGGGGCGTTGAGCTACAGAGAAATAACTGAGCCATTCGATTGAGTCATGGCACGTGGAACTAGAGCAATCTACCCCGGTGACAAAAAAAAAAGGATTCGGTTTGAACTTCTAGTCACCGTACAACAGCCGAAACGTTGTGAATATGGCAATGAAGATGAGGATAACAATCCGAATAATGTAAACAATGTAAGTAATCATAAGACCTCATCTCAGAGATATAGGCAGATATTCCAATCACCTGAAGAAGGCCGAAGAGTACAACGGCTGAAACGATGTGAATATGGCAATGAAGATGAGGATAACAGTCCGAATCATGTAAATAATGCAAGTAATCATAATAACTCATCTCAGAGATATAAACAAAAAACTTTTATTTTTTAGTCTACTAAATTTTATAGTTCTTTCTATAAATATAGAAAGTACTATAAAATTTAGTAGACTTGAAATGTTTATTTTCATGAAAACTGTTCTAAGAGAAATATTTTAAAAGATACTAGATTTAACTCATTGATCAAGGGATGCAGAAGGTTTACTGTAGGGAGACGCTGAATTCCAACAACTCCCTCCCTCTCTCTCTACCCCTCCCTCTCTCTCTACCCCTCCCTCTCTCTCTCTCCATATATATATATATATATATATATATATATATATATATATATATATATAATTTATTCAATTGTGACGTCCCCCATCATTTCGCCACTCAAACGTGACGTCCGCCTGTCTGCGTCAGTCGTGTTGTCCCGTCCTTTGACGACCAACTGGCTTAGTATTAGTCGCGGCAGCCAAATGTGACGTTCTAACCTTTTGGTGATTCGGGTGGGAATCTGATTGATTTGATTTCCAGTCTACCTACCCACGTTGTGAATTGATCTAGGCAGACGAAATCAATCAGTCGCTGGGCCGTACTGCAAGCTGAGTTCGGATAAGGGTGATATCGCACAAGTATGTGTAAAATAAAATAAAATAACAACTCGAAAAGTTCAAATGTGTTAAAAATGGATAACAATATTTTATATCTGGTTTCTGGATACAGGACTGCATCTATTTCCCAACCCGCTATATGGATTCGTGACACGTTGTTTTTGTTAGGCGATTCTTAATATCTTAAGTTGTCTGTTCTTCAAGAAACTGGTTCTTGGTGTGTCTTCAGGCGATATTCGTAAAACTTGTTTTGGTGGTGGAGTCAAGTCGTTCTTCAAAAATAAATTGTTCTTGGTTAGAAGATGAGTTCGGAAGTGCGTGAATCTTAGTCAGCTAATGCGTGGTGGGTCTTCAGAGCTCTCAACATGAACTCACTGGAACTGGAAACTCTGGAAAAACTCGAAACTCTGAAACTGATTTTCGCTCGCTGCGACTTTACTTATATGGACGCCGACCCAAAACCGGGGTGGGCTCGTCGGGGTTTGAGGTTCCTTGATAATTCTAAATCCACAGTCCACTTTGTTTTCGGTCAAGAAATTTCCACTCCTTTCCATTTTTGGAAGTCTTCTCCTACTCCCACCTTCTTCTATTCTCATATTGGTATCTCACTATAACCTCAGAGGGCGTCAACGGTTTTCCCTCTCTCTCACAGTGAAATCTCATACCTATCCCCTCAATGGGTGCCATGAGGCCTCCCACCTGCATCACATGATCACCTCCACCTGGCTCTAGTTAACATTCAGCCAATGAGCGCTCAGCAGTGTGGGTGTGACCAGACTAGCCATGTTTTAAAAAAAAAATCTTGCTCGAAGAAAAAAAAAATTATCTTTTCTTTTCCTTTTCCTTTTTTCTTCTTTCTTTCTCTTTTCTTTCGTAGTGTGGTCCCTTAATCGCAGTTCTTATACTCAATGTCACTTGGTACCTATCAATTAGATTTTCGCGAATTATCAAGTGGGTGGTCATCTAGCGAAACACAGCCAACTTTTTGTCCCGATAAGGTAGTTTCGCTATCCTAGCCGTATTTGCATTCTTGGTGCCGATTTCTGATAAAATAGTTTCGCTGTCATAGTCAAATTCCAACACAACCCAGATGCCTTGTCCAACGACACCCTCCCATCGACAAAGGCTCAACCTATGGTTTGGTTTTTCTTTGTTTTCAACAACTCGTGTGTGGCCCAACGGACAATACAGTTAATTTTATCTATTTAGAATTCTGACTCTGAGGCCAGCTGGCCAACCTGGAATTCGTCAATTAGCTTTTCGCCGTCACCAAGCGATTGCCCATTAGACGCTTTCACATTCTGGCGTTATCTATTCCCGATAATATAAGTTCGCCACCATGACACAGTTAATTTTTATCTATTTAGAATTCTCGACAATGGCAATAAAATTTTCACCATTTTTCCTTGTCAAAATAACACCGCTTAATGTCCCTTTTTTTGGCTTTTTTTTTTCATCTAAATTTAACTCTCAGCTTTCTTTTTTTTTTTTTTTTTTTTGTAGAAGAGACTTTTCTCCTTCTAGCAACCCTAAATGGTGTCACAGAATATTATAAAATAAATATGTTATAAAATCACTACAAAAGTAGCCATTTTGTTTCAACACTCCTGGTGTCTTATCAAGTGTTGGTGTTGAAGGTAGAATAAAGGGTTTTAAAACATTCAAATCGACCAAACACCCTCGTCAGTTGCCCACCTTAAAATTTTGAATCAAAATACAAGTGGACGAAATTTATAATCAAAAATTGGAAAATTCGTAAACTTGAGGAATCAGCACATATGCTAGAATGTACAAAAATCTCTATCCAGAACCAAGCATAGAAATAATGAATACAATACGGGAACCAGTAATAAGGATTGTCAAAGAAAAAGCGATAATAACAACAAAAATTTCAATATGAGCTCTGGTAAAATCATGAAATGATAACAGCAAAAAATTGCAATATGAACACTGGTAAAAAAATGTTTGCTGAGACATTAGGTTTATAATACCCAAAAATTCATACACAGACGTCCTCAAGGGCACATGGCACAGTGGATAAAGTTAGATCCAGTGACAGGGCCCAAAGAGTGTGAGTTCAA